TCCTCTCTCTCTGTTATTTTTTTCCCCTTACTATATATATATATATATATTTAATTATTAAACTGTCTTTATCTCAAGCCATGAGTTTTCTCACTTTTACCGTTCCAATTCTCCCCTCATCCCGGGGCGGGGGCGTGAGTGAGTGGCTGTGTGGTGCTTAATTGCTGGCCAGGATTAAACCACGACAATTAAATTGGATTGGTCTTGGTAAGGGTAGTAGCTTTGAAGAAAGTCTGGGTGTTACTAAGAAGAGGCTACAAATTTGATTTATTTTTTTTTTTAATAAATAACTTGCTGAATTGCAATTGGCATGACTATAAGCAGATCTTTACTATATGACAAATTGCATTTTTATTGTAAAGAGGAAGCATGCACTTTAGACATGCTGTAGGAGATAACCTGGGATCATGCTGTATCTTTGAAAATAAATGGGATAAGAGGTGGCTAAAACTTCTTACAATACTGTTAAATTTACATAGCTGTGTCTAAATATTCACCTGTGAACTTTTTATTTTTATGCAAGCTTAATTTATACTACGATCTATAAAAATTGCCAAGTCTGAATATACCTTTCAAATTACATTTATGCTCAACTTTATAGATCAGCTCAGAAATGGATTATGTTAGTGATAAATAACCTTGAGAAGAGGAGAATTTTCATAAGGTTTGAGAAGGTTTATGTCCTTATTCTGTTACCAAATGTATTGCTAAATGTCACAAAAATCCATCTAATATTTCCAGAAGAGACTAGTAACTTTGAGCTGAAGTCCAATGTAGTTTTCTTCTCAATTCCCTACTAGATTGCTGAGCAGACTATATAAATTTTATGTGTAGACTTACTGTAATCAGCACTCTCCGTTCTAGATAAAAGTCCAAGAATGTATCATAATTATCTCTAATTATTCTACTGTATGAACCTGTGAAGGTTTTTGAAACAATTTTTATTGTACACATTGACTGTGTGTAGTTTTCAGTATTCAGAATTCAAATTATTATTCATTCTGATTTAACAGGTCTGATATTTTTCCTTAGTTTTTATTATTTGGTAAGTAATTCTTTTCTAGAGTATATTCCTTCACAAATCATGCCAATTGCATTTACTATGAAATTAAATTAGTATTTTTGGAAATAAGCACAATTGTACTCATCTTTTTTTGGAGACTGAATGCACAAAATACTTGAACACAAAAGAATCAAATTTATTTTAAATTTTTGTGAACATTAGCCAAACTTCTTTTCAGTATTTGCTGAATTCTTTCCTTTGGTAATGACACTGACTATTTTTAAACACTTCTGTTGAGATTTAGTTTTGCAATTGTACTGTGAACTATTGAGTAGTAAATATTGTGAAGACTATTTAGAATTTTATTTAAGTGGTATAGGATTGATTGACCATTTGGAAACCTGAGAGTGTACCTGCCTAAAGGTGGATGGCAAACTTTTCTTGTGGTGCATGAGAAAAGAATCTCTAGATTCATCTAGTCCAGTATTCTGTATCTGAAAGAGGCCAGTTGCAGAAGTCTAGAGAAGAGTATAAGAAAATGACAAGTATACTGCAGTACTCTGCCAGAACACTCTCAGAAACTCCACTTATTGAAGTCTAAAGGGGTGGTGTCTTCATAGACACAGGTAATTTTCTAATAACTACAGAATTCTGAGAAAAGGATAGCTCTACAATCAGAGTTTGAGCACATATTTCCTTGTTTTTCGCTTTATCTACCTTTCAGTAATGACTGTCTCAGTGGTCATAATCTCCAATGAAAGAAAAAAGATGAATTTGCTGTTAATTTCCTATTAGTAAGATGTCTGGTAGTATGACAAACATGTACTTTTCACTTGGATTACAGGTTTAGGACTCGTTCCATACAGTTATGTAATGAAGTTACATTGTGTTGCCACCATTGTCTTAGATCAGATGATGCAACTTAATTAAGAGACTGCAAATTACTTGAGGATTTTTTTCTGGAAACTGTTTTATTAAAAAAAACAAAAACCAAAACCAAAACCAAAAAAACCCCAACTAAAAATAGAGAATTGTGGTTTATCAAAGCAACAATAAAAGAATGGAAACTTCTGTCCAGACTTTCTGCAGGACTGCAGGAACCTGATAGTTACCTAATAGTTAAATACATGGAAGGTTGGATGCAATTTTTAATTTATCACTCAAGCGTAGTCAGGAAACTGTATTCCATGTCCTTGAGGAATCCCCCAATTGCCATGTTACAGAACATTCTATGATATTCAATGATGAGTCTTTTAGTAGCTCTTGTTGGAGTTGTTTCAACTTGAATAGGCTGATTCTTGACTAAGCTAATTCTTTGTATCACAGAGATTCTTTGTCTCACTGTGGAGCACAATGTTGCTTCATGGGAACTCCTGGTTTTGGTCCTGTGCTATGGATATACATGTTAACATTTTCAAATTGGCATGCTCACTCCATAATAGTCTAGCCGTTTAGGGGACTTGAATGGAAGACTAGGGGATTGAGGGCTTGACAGCCTCCTTGTGACTGTATTTACTGTGTGAACATTCTCTCTAAGGTGTATATTAGACTATCAGTTTGTTTCACTTTTTAGGAAAACTTGAAAGTTTCTTCGAAATAAATGTAATGCAGTTGAAGTAAATTGTAAGTTGTTTGAATTGCAGGTGTACATAGTAGAGTACCTCGATTTGCTTTTTCTACATTTTTGACATTTAAACTCTTCTAGTGAAAACACATTAGCACTTCCACTCTGAAAGGCTACCTTGAAATTAAAACACTCTGCTTAAGCAATAAAAGAATGAATTTGCTGCACTGTTTATGCACAGTTTTCTCTAGAAGAAGCAGCTTTGAGAAAATGTTTGTGTGATCTGGGAGCTATACACATCAGTAGTGTATCAGAATCTGTGGCATAAGTTGTTGAGTTTAAGCTTATTAATAAAGATAATGCAAAGAGTGTCTTATTTGGAACATCTGACTTTTGTTCCATTTTTAGATTTATGATTCACAAAAATAGCCTTACAAGTACAATTAACCTTATTTAAAAAATAATGCGAGAATTTATCAAGACAGAAGTTTCTTTTTAAAGTAATGCTGTTGATAGTTCTTATAAGTCTAGATGGATGTAGTTAGATAAACCCCAAATTCTAACAGTTGATAATTATTCATTTGCTTGTGGCTGTGGCTATGTTAAAAAGTAGGTAAGTATTTTAATTAGCAATGTATTAGCTTTTGCCAAGATCACATTTGAATTATGAACTTGAACTTCAATTAAGTATATGATTTAATGAATTTAGAATTTGAAATTGATCAAATAAGGTGATGGCGTTCCCTTAGAAATTTTTGTGCTATTTGTGTACCTGATGTTGAGTCTCATAGAGGAGATTAGTCCAGCTTCAATTATGTGAAGAAACAGCAGGGGCAGGCTCAAGTTCCAGTCTTTGTCACTCCTTGTTATTCTGACCTAGTTTGGTCTTTCTTTGAAGTAAAGGAAACGCTATGATTGCCATAATTAACAATATTGCAACTAAAAGTTCTCGATCCTTTTACAATTTCTTCATCGTGGCCAAACTGCAAGGCTGAACATTTTCAGTTTCCTAAAAACCTTTCAAGTCACGAAATGAAACAGTACTAAAAGAGTAAATGAAGAAAAGTTTTTTTGATAGTAAGCTTTGGTTTCAGTACTTTGAAATGTTGTGTTAGATGTTATTTTCCAATTGTATTTCTGAGACACACATGTTCCCCTTTCTTCCCTTCCTGATTCTTTTGTCAGTTTATGAGGTACTGAACGGCCAAAATTCAAGAATCATAGCCAAAGGAGTGACTTCTTGGAACTGAGTGTTATGCAAAGAAGAAAGATCAAATATTGATTTCTGTGGGACAGAAAATCATAGAAAAAGAGAACGAATTTATCTTTTCTCTGTTACAGCTTCTGCTGATTCATACTCTGCTGTGTTATTAGTTTTAGAAATGAAACTCTATTTATTTAACCCATACCAAGTTGCATCCTGATCTTACTTGGCAGCCATACTGCCACAAATCACTTAAAAGTCTATGAACAATTTCTTAGGAATCAGTTTGAAAGATTAAAAAAAAAAATACATACATATATATATAGTCACAATCAGACCTCACAGAATTTTTTAATTACTGTTTAGATTTAGTTTTAAAATGTCTTTACCTTATATTATAGATATTGCTCAGTATTTGAAATTATATTTAAAATCCTTTCTAAAAACAAACAGGAAACATTTGTTTGGGTTTTTTTTTAAGCAATGGAGTAATACAAACATTCTGATGTCTAAAAATGGATAGTTGTATTTACTGCTCATCCATTTTAGTTGTATAGTCGTGAAATTGCAGATAAATGATGTAATCATAAGCCTCATTATTTATTACTTAGTATGCGAGACTGTCCTTGACCTGAACCTTAAAGGATAACCCTGAACCTCCTTACTTAGATAAAAATCCTATTGACTTTACTGGAATAAGAATTTCAAAGTATAAAATGTCAAATGAGCTACGTACTGAACATTTATTTGTAAATCAGTTAAGTTGTTACACTTAACCTACTTTCAGTCTTCTCCATTACATTTTCCCCAAAACATCTTTTTGTTCTGCTGTTCTCCCTGATCACAGAAAATGGTAAATCCTTCTGTAAAGACAATGCTCTTTGCTCTGCAAATGAACTTCCACCTAATTATTATCATCAGATGTGGTTTATCTTGAAAAATGAAAGTTGAATGGAAAATTAAGTATTCAGAGTACCTTTAGACATTCTGTGCATCATTTTTCCACTTAATGTCATACTTCACAAAACACATTTTGAGGTATTGTGAATCATATTTTAAACAAGCAGACTTTAAAGGTAGTGGCAGAGAATAATGGCACAGGGTTTAATAATAAATATTAGCAATCTTTCTTTTTTTCCTGTAGCAATCTGTTTTTCCTTATAGTGTTCTTTTGTAGATGCTGAAATGTAATTAATGGACAATTTACACAGTAATTTACTGTTTTATAGGTTGGAACTTGGGATCCATTGAGTGGCCTTAACATGACAGAGAATCAGAAAGGAAAACCAGCAAACATAACAGATTCCCTGTCCAATCGCTCTTTAATCGTTACTACCATCTTGGTAAGCAATTATATTTGCATTTCCAGAAATACAGTTGTACAGGAAAGCTAATAGAATATGCTGTACTAATTACAACGGTAATGAACAGTCTGTAGTATACGTTATAGTTACTTAGAAATCACTGTGTCATGAGTGAACTCCAGTTGTTAAGCTAGTCATGGATATTTACTCTCATCTAAATTGTAAGTAAATTATCCCAATTTTAGAGTTATGTCAGTTGATTAGTAATTTCACTGTCATTATTGACTAAAATGTTTGGTTCTTTCACAAAGCTGTTTAGTTCAGCACCATATGAGAGGACAAAAGGTGTTTGTTTAAAAAAGTGGTTTGGCTATTAGCCTGATGATTTTAGCCAGCAAAATTTATTGCTTTTGTTTGGTAATCTAACACCATGATATTACCTCTAAAGAAAGTATGAAGTATTTAACATTTATTTTAATCATCGTTATTACTTGATTATTAACTTGAAATTTTTACTTATACAGAAATTTAATTGAGCTATCATTTGAACTAGATCAGAAGTAACTTCTTTTTCATTGCCATCGTTGACAAATTCACAGTGGTGAATGAGGTATTTTTTACTTATAATTACATATATTTAGTTACATAAAAATAAATGTTCACTAATTTCCACACGATAATTTTGAAATAGTAATTTTAATTTCAACACAAATGAAAAACTTTCCAGAAGTGTCTTCTGTGTTTGTTGGCTGCCAGCATTATCATGAATTTGCAGATATCAAAAAATAATTCACTTGCCCACAGTTTTATTCTTTAATAAGAAGTTTTTACCTACCAACATATATTTTGACATTTCAAGCTAGAATGAATTTTCATAGGTACATAGATACAAATGCCAGTTTACTTCTAACCTTTTATGTAACATAAGCCATAGAATTTCATTCAGTGGGTAACTTTTTGGTTACTTATAAGGTCTGCTTTTATTTGAAGACAAAAATCTTCTGAAATCCTTTGTTTCATTTATTCCACTAATTGAAAAATACATACTTGATATATAATTGGAACACGGCTGACACTTTCAGATGTAAGTTCTTGTTATGCTAAGACCAGCACAGTTTTACCACAAATTTCTCTTTTATCATTAATTACATTTCATAAACATATAATCTCTTGAGTTTCTTTTTTATAAAATGTAAATGAACCTCTTATAGTCCCTTAAAGTAAAAGCATGTTTTCTAGACTACTAGTCTGTCTTTTTTCTTCCCAATGCCCTTCACAAGTTTTCAAATTTTGTATGTATAAGAGCTACTGCATTATCAAGTAATGTTTCTTAGTAATTCCAGTTGACACTCCCCCCCCACCCCCCTCCTGTTATGTTGTATCCAGATATCCTGCCTAGGATTTTTCTTGAAGCATTCCACTGGTATATAACTATGTTTCACATTTTTCCTAATTGCTTTCTAGTATTACTGCTTTCCAGAATATAATCCTGTTAGTTAGGTCACTGTATTAGTGACCTGTTCCCTTCATTAGTTGGTACTCAACCAGCCTTTGTATCATCTGCACACTTCATTAGCAATCATTGTATACTTGATTCCAGATCAGTGATAACAATACTGGGACAAGGATCAATCCCTGCAAGATTGCATAAGAAACACTCAATAACTTAGGGTGTTTCAAGTTTTTTTATGTTTTAACATCTATCTGTTGATGAGGTTTGAGTTCATATACTGTATGTATCATACTGATTTTGTATAGTGATACTTACACTTACATGATTTTGTTTGAAATAATGATCTCAAGAAAAGGTAAGCTGCACAAATGTAAATAGCAGCACTATCAATGCGCACTGATTTTGGACTGGTAAAGCTCACAAAAGTAGATTCCTGAGATTTATGATAGCAGCTGCTTTCTGTAATCAAGGATACCCTGTCTCTTAAGGGATAACTTTTGGTTAGTGATGTTGTATAAGCATCTGTCCTCTTTGCACATATCTAAATGAAATAATAAATAAAAGAAATATGAGGACTTTAACTTGGTGTTACGAGTTGCTCACTTCTAACTGCCTTTTATACTTCAGTTATTGTTCAGTGAAAGTTTTGGTAATTGCAATAACTCCTTTCAGCTATGAAGACGTTGTAAGAGTGGTACTCAGAATAATGGAATGAACCAAAAATTGTTCTGGTGCAGAAAGCACATGTACTAGCTTATTTTGTAGCTCTATCTTTTTGTGCTTAATAAATACATTTCTGTTGGACAGAAAGCATATTACTGAATATTCATTTCATAGCAATGCAAGGGAACAATATAAAATATTGCAGCTCCTAGAAATATATTTTCTTCTTCATCACCTTCCTTTTCTCTCCTTTTTTCAGTCCAGAAAATACTGCTTTAAATAAAAGGCAATTCTCTCATTTAAGCTGTTCACGTGATTTTTCTGTGCTGTTTTTTCACTTTAACAGTTCTGTACTATGATCTATAGCATACTGCCAGCTATGGAGTCTTGATCAGTTTTCTCTGTAGTTTGCTTTAACACTCCCTTTTCTTTTAAAGATACCAGTCTTTCTTTTATTTTTCATTCTCGCTTCTGAAATTCTGAACGATATCTTTTTCCTCCTTTATACTATAATCATTAAGATCTTTACAACTGTGAGTATACCCTGCTTTTTCAGTGGTGGCTGAGTCTACTGAAGATGAAAAAATATTGATAGGCAAAATAATAATAAATAAACTATGATTCATAAATTCATCTGCTGCAAGTAAGGATGGAACTATGTGATCTTTTTTGTCTTGAATTCTGAATAATACATGTTATAGGTAACCATCTGAAAGATTATTCTTTGGTTTATGAGAAATTCAGTAGCTCTGTTATGAAAAGGGGTCAGTGGTTCCCAGGACTTCATCACATCTCAGAAGTCTACTGGCATGTAGTTTTGGTGCAGAAGCATGTCTAGTTTCCAAGTTCTGGTTCCATAGCAGCCCAAAGTACCAGCTGAACATGTCCAATAGAGTGCTGGTCAGCTTTTGAGGAGGGGAAACATTTGGAAAAAAAAAAAATGCTGTTTGTATTTTTTATAAGCATAGCTTTGGATATCTCAATCTTTTTGACCCTATGGCTTTATTTTATTTTAATGCCATCTGCATTGAAACGTCAGAATTTCTTCTACAATTAAAATTCTACATTCTGAATGTTCTATGTTTAATAAAAACAAAACCAAAAAATCTTTCAAGTTCATTAATAAGGTTTTCTTATAATCTGATTCTCCTAAATTGACTTGTTATGCCAGCTATCAGAACTCCGATTATTTTTTTCTTTTAGATTTTAGATGTAAGTATCTAAATATGTGCATGGTGTTTGTTTATGCTAAATTGCATACCACCCTGTACATCCTATCATACAGGTTCATTTGTCCTGTTCTGCTGAAATGGATGCTCCTTTCCTTTCCCTTATAGCTTTTATGTGCTTTTCTGTATCTGCTTACATCAAAGCTCTGAAAAGCTCACAGCTGTCAAGTTTAATTTTTTCAAGAAATGTGTGAAAGTTATGAAAGGTGTGTGATAATCTCAAATTTAGCAGCTTTTTGTTACTTCACTTTTGAAATGTGAAATTACTTTTTTTACTATACTTCCCTGAAAAAATATCTTTGAATATTTTAAAAGAAGGAATAATTATAACAGAGTTTCAAAACAATTTTATTTAGTTCAAAATGTAATATCCCTACACTGTATTTTATTCATAAATGCTGCTTTTTCAAATGGGTAGAAATCTGATGCCATATAAATGCCATCTTGTTTTCAAAAAAAAGATATAAAATCAAGCAAAGCCCAAGGTTTTAGCATCTTTGATTTTTTTTAGGTATGTCATTTTTAATTTTACATACTTTCTCTCCCTTGTTTTTGGACCCAAAGGCTATTTAAAGCATGAGCTTTTAATAGCCAAATTTTAAATTAATATATAAAAAAAAGAGTAACTTCACCTTTTATGTTTATAAAAATGGGTCACTCATCACTTGTACACAGAATTGCAGATTTGTAATCTTTTTCATTTTCATTTTTATTATACATTTTGAGGAATGGTATCTGATCCAGGCATTTTCTCATAATTACTGTTGTATCCATCTGGAATGATTCAAGCAATACCTACATTTTGAGATATTAATAATTCAATATTATTTGGTTCC